TTATAGAATTCTAACCCATTATCAGTTCTAAGAGTCTTTAGCTTCCTATCTGTAAGATTTTCCTGTAGGGTTTTCCACTGTTTAAATTTATTTAATGAATCATCCTTAGTTTTAAGTAAGTAAACCCACACTTTCCTTGAAAAGTCATCAACTACAGATAAAAAGTAAGAGTTACCTCCATGGGTTGTGATGGCTTCTGGACCCCAGAGATCTGCATGCACGTACTCCAAGGCCCTTTTTCATTCATGAGTCCCTGTGCTGAACTTAAGTCTGTGTTGTTTTCCTAGGATACAGTGTTCACAAAAATCAACTTTGCTTACCTTGTCCTTGCCAAGAAGTTTCTGGTCGCCCATGATTTTGAGGCCTCTCTCATTAATGTGCCCCAGCCTGTTGTGCCACAATATTACTTCAGAGTCTTCAGGAGCAATGGCCACTGATGTCTTCCTTGTTAGAGTTTCTCCTAACAAATAATATAGGCAATCTTTCTTAACCCCCTTGATCACCACCATTGAGCCTTTGGAGACCTTCATTTTCCCCCTTCAATCTTGTTGATGTAGCCCGAATCATCCAGAATTCCAAGTGAGATGAGGCTTCTTGTCAAGCTAGGGACATATCTCACATCCCGTAGCTGTCTCACTATTCCATCAAACATTTTTATTGACACTGTCCCTGTTCCTTCCACCTGGCAGGTGTGGCTGTTGCCCATCATTACCTTCCCACCATTTATCTTCTTAAAATCAGTTAACCATGACTTATTGTGGGTCATGTGATAGGTGCACCCCGAGTCAAGTATCCAGTCTTGGCTTTCAATGTTGTCTGCTGCCACCAACACCTCACCACTTTCACATCCATCACTGAAATTGGCCGACTCATGGTTATCATTTCCATTCGAGGAGTTTTGCTTCTCCTTTTGTTTTCTTTGAAACGCATAGCAGTCCTTCTTCAAGTGGCCAGGTTTCTTACAAAAGAAACACTTCCTGTTTGTGTCAGGACCTTTGGAGGCTGGCTTTCCTCTCCCCTTGCTGTTGCTTCTTCCTCTTGGATTATTCGATCTTTGTTGGCTCCTTCCTCAGGCAAACTGGTTTTCTGCATTTGATGAGTCTTACCTTTCGGTCTTGATCTCAAGATCCCTAGACTTCAAGGCTGATATAACCTCTTCCACAGTGATAGAGGTCCTGCCATACTTGATGGCAGATTTTACCTCTTTGTATGTTTCTGGCAGAGCATTCGACAGAATGATTGCCTGATTCTCATAACTTAGCGCCTCATTTTCCCCCGACTTTGCTAGTTCAATGTTCATTCTCAAAAAATCATCAAGGTTTTGTTCAAGCGTCTTAGAGGGATTCATCTTAAAACCAACCAGTCTCTCTTTCAAGAAAATCTTATTTGTTAAAGATTTCTTTTGGAAAAGTTCATCTAACTTGTTCCAAATCTTGGCAGGATTTTCTTCTTTATCAATTAATCTTATCACAGAATCAGATAAGTGTAGGATGATGACACCTGTAGCAGTTTCAAGCAGTTCCTGCTTTTGATCGTCTGAGAATTCCTCGGAACACTTTGGGGATTCTTCCAGCGCCTTGAGAAGCCTTTGCTGGGCGAGGAGTCCTTTGATTTTTCTTCTCCAGATGAAGAAATCACCCGAGCCATCAAACTTATCAATCTCTATCTTCATGTTTTTCAAACCCCTAAAAAGAATTTGATTCTTCGTAGACTGTAATAGATCTGAAGATGGAAAACCTCCAGTGTACTCCGGATTCAGTGGAATATCTTCAAAACCCCTCAAATCTAGAGAGGCTTCAACGGAATGTTGAACTCCTTCAACCTCCAGTGTTTCTTGCCCTAGATTCTTGACTGAGATCAATCCCCTCTCCTAACCAAGAGCTCTGATACCACTGTTGGAAATTAAACCAACACCAATCTCGATCGTACCAAATCAAAGACAGAAATGAAACAAGCAAAACAAGAACACACCAAATTGATTTCGGAGTTCGGTGAAAATTCCACCTACATCTCCGCGAACTCCACAGAGGAAGTTCGATATGCATTATAAGAACAAACTGATTACAAACTTCCAGAAATTCCTCCCCTAAAGTTTCCCGAGAAACTGAGCAAGAAATCCCTCAAGAAAATCACTCTTTTTCTCACACCTCTCTCACTCTAGACCGTCTCTCTCAACTTAGGGTTTTTTTGTACAAAGTTTTTCTCTCTCTGTGGAATTCTCTCGAAGAAGCAAGAAGAAGAAGAAGTGATTATTGAATTACATCAAAGGAATTTATCTTATCTGGAGTCCAAGCAAGACGGTCCAATGACAAGCTGCCACCTGTGCCTCACTTGCCCATGTCAGCTTCAAGAGTCTTCTGAGTTTGCATCCCAAGAGAAACGACTTGTCATTTCTGCCTTCAACAAAACCAGTGTTTATCAACTTCAAAACTGAGTCACAATAGAATTGATTCAACAAAAACTTTATCTAATTTGTCTTCCTAATTGAATAAAGGAATCTCATCATCACAGACTTTTAATTTCTTATTAAAAGAGCTTAGTATCGTCTTTTACGTAAAAGTTAAAAACAAAAAAATGCAAACCTAACGTACCGTTCAGAAGATAATGATACAATCTTTTTTTTTTAAGGATTAATCATGCGATAAGATTAGGAAAAAAAAAAAAAAAACGTGCCGGAAAGAATATTTCTAGATCGTTGTATAAGAAATCATCAAATTAAGAAAAAAAAAAAATATATATATATATATATATATATTACAGTTTAATTGCTTATTCTCCACAATTGTGTCTGACCATATATGAAGGGTTTTTTCTTTTATAGAGGGACAGGGACGGTCTCATGTCTCTAGTGGTCTTCACGCTTTACAAGAAATTGTGGCTAAAAAACCTGCACATAAAAGTATGTGGGTAAATGTTTTTCTTATTTTCCAGCACATAATTTTAGAATGTATGAGTAATAAAGTGTTTGGACAAAGAGTTTTACCTTAAATATTGCATACCTGAATAGAAGTTTTACCTTAAATATTCCCGAGCCTAGAAATGCATTTGAGGAAAAGAAAAATTACGCACTGTGTGACGAGATATTGTCAATTATTCTTTTTTTTTTTTTTTTACATGTTTAGTAATCATATTATTATTTTTTTGTTTAAAAGAGCTCATTGACATGTTGACGATCTACGTGGTAAGGTTCAAAATATTTTAATATTTATTGGATGACATGTCTTTCAGTGATGTCACAATCGTCACCCATTACTAGTCTTCTCGCCGGCGCGTTGCTTGCAGCAGGAGGAAAAGTGTCGAAGGCTAGGTGGTGGGGGGTGGCGACCTTTGGGTTTTTTGAGTAGTAGGGGTTAGGGTTAGGGTTTAGGGATTTGAGGATTTTTGGGGGGCTAATTTTGGAATTTCATGGGTGGCTGATTTGTGGATTTTTTTATTTAAAAAAATTATAAATAAAAGAAAAAATTTTTTTTTCTCTTTTTTTTTTTTTTTTTTTTTTTTTTTTTTTTGGAAAAATGATATTTTAAATTAAATGAAAAATAATGGTAAATAAACCATTCAATTTATTTACTAATTTATCACTAACATCACTGCTAAATATTGTGTAAATTCATTTTTAATGAGCAAAAAATCCAATATTAGTAAATAAAAGATTTACATGTAAGTAGGAGAGTTCACGATCAATTTAGATTTTTTTTTTAAAAAAAAACTACAAACTAAATCAAAAATAATTTCTTTTTTTTTAGGGATTTGGGCGGTTTGATATTTTTGACAAAACCAAATCAAATTGAGTCACTCATAAGCTCTTTAGTTGGTTTAATTTGGGCGATTTGAGTTTAAGACAAAATATTTTCAATAATTAACAAAAATTATAAAATCGTTATCCATAAAGATAAAATAAGGTTCAAGTTTACAATATAGTTAAAAAAATGATAAATGTCTAAAAGTTCACCATTTAAAGTTTTAATGCAAACCAATAAAAATATGGCAGCGTGTATTTTATAATTGTAGAACTTTCATAATGACTAGTAAAAATTTAAATAAAGTAAATATATATTAAAAAGAAAAAATTATATATGCTTATTTTTGAGGAGATTATTGGACAGTTTAGGGAGTCCAAACCACTAATCAAGTCACCAAAAAAATTAGATTAAAAAATGACCAAATCGCTTAATAATCTAAAAATAATTAATAATTTTGTTCAATTTAATTTGAATTAAGCGGTTTTTACAGCTCGGTGTATATTTTGAACACTCTTCACCTGTAAGTTACAAAGTTAGGAAGCAAAGGTCAAAATGTACTCAATAAATATATGATATACTAGATAATTAAAAATCTAAAAAAAGTTTGTACTGAACTAATGATTTACCTCGAAAATATCAGATTTACATCATAACTACCAGCTTTACTAGATAAACTTAAAAATTTGTGAGAATAAATAATAACAGAATTTACCATATAAATTAAAAACCTAAAAAAATAAATAAAATATTTACTCAGTAAAATACGAGATTACTACATAAGCTGAAAATTGAAGAAATAAGATAAATAAAGGGTGTGTTCATTTTATAACTTGAATCATAACTTGAGTTATGATTTAAGTTGTATACGTGGAAAAAACATAATGTAGTAAATAAGTTAAATTTAAATTTTTATAAGAAAAAATACTAATAACAATAAAATTTAAGTTGCGAAATGAACAAAGTCAAAATACTTAATAAATTTAGAATTCACTTTCGAATATACAAGATTTACATGATAAATGCCCCCCCCCCAAATTAACCATAACTCCTTTTTTTTTTTTTTTGAAGAAAAAAGGAGTTTTCTTGATTTTGCAATTTGTCTGCTCACACACATCATTACTTATACATTTTTCTCAATAGTGCTATTTTTTAGTAATTAAATTGATATGCTAGCTTGGGGACCTAATTGTCAAAAATTTTGAACTGCAGGGCCTAAGTGCCATAGCATACTTTGAAGACCGGAGGCGAGTAAACTAAACCGTCAAAACTGCATAAATTGGTCTGAAGTTGGAAGAGAAGTAGCTAAAAAAAAAAAAAACAATAAAGATGACGATAGATGACGAGAGCTCCATTTACGTCGGCGGCCTCCCCTACGACGCCTCCGAGGATTCCATTCGCCGAGTTTTCGAATTCTACGGCTCCGTCGTCGCTGTTAAGGTAATCAGACGCCCTTTTTTTTTGTGTGCCTAATTTCTTCAATTTGTGTTTAGGGTTTTAGAGAGATTTATGAACCTTTTCGCTATGTTGAGGATTTTGGGATTTCTTAATTTTGCTATAAACTGGTTTTTCTTCATCGTAAATATGTTCTTCTGAACGTTTCTAGTGGGTAATTTGTGGGTTTTATTTTGGCAGATTATTAATGATCGCGGGACTAGAGGGAAATGCTATGGCTTTGTTACTTTCACGAATCCGAGGTCCGCCATTGATGCCATGGATGAAATGGATGGCAGGGTTTGTACTTTTCTTTCCTTTTGTGTAATTTGATTTTTATTGTGGTTAGACGTATTGCGAATTTGGTTTATAGGTTTGAATAGAATGTTTGTACAGAAATTCAAATTTCTTACCCGCGAAACAAACGGGTTCTTAGTGTAAAGGAGAACCAATGTTTTGTTATTGCGCGTTGGTTTATTATGTATAGCTCGTTTAATACTCTGAAGCATTGAAACAGACTATTGGTGGGCGAGTTGTAAGGGTGAATGGAGTGAGGACCAGAGGTGGGAGATCAAATTTCGACGGAGAAAGTTATCGACATGATTTTGAGAGTGGCAGGGACTGGAACCGGGGTCGGGATCGAGAGCGAGATCGAGATCAGGAAAGAGATTATGATCATAATATAGAAAGGTACCGTGATCGGAGTGGTGAAAGGTCAAGAGATCGTGATAGGTCCCGAGACTATGATCAAGAAAGAGAAAGAGGGTATGAGCAAGTGTATGATCATGATCAAACCAGGGATAGTTTGTTTGATCGAGATCGAGATCAAGATAGAGATGTGGAAGATGCTGGCCTAGAACACAATAGGAGTCGCAATCGGAATTGGGATAGAGATCGTGGTTTGGATCCTGAAGGAGAAGGGGAGATGGACAGAACCAATGGGCATGATAAACTTATTGAAATGGATAGGGATAAAAACTCGAGAAAATGGAATGGGTAAGGTACCTCTTTATTCCAATTGTTTCAACTCCACCTTAGAACAGGCTAGTAGTTGAATATATCAACAGTAGTATTTATTGGTACATATTCAAGAAATCTAGTGCTCAAGTTATGGCTTTCTTGGGTGTTTCGATATTGAAGAATATCATTTTTCTTCCTGCACTTGTAAAAGCAATTCTTTTCCTCTGCATCAATTCCCTTGGACATATAATCCAGATTTTTAGCTTTCAAAATTTTTGGAAAACATTGTGGTTTGTACAATACTCTGAGAGACTCACCGACAAAACTCTTATCTTCTTGTACTTCCATGGCATACTATGGAGGATATTTGAAGGCTCGAGTTTTACTTGGGGGAATCAGTCACACTTTGCCTTTTGAAGAAATAAATATTCCTAAAATGTGCATGTGCTGTTCAAAATATTGAGCACGTGTTTCACAAAGTTCAAGGTTGTAGAGCCTAACCATACATTAGTCTGTCCTGTTTTTGTTTTATAGAAAATCAACTACTGTTCCTGAGAATTTTGTTTTGTTTTTCATATTAAAATGAAAAGTCGTTGTGATATATTGATGATTGGGTGCTGTTGGAGTTCTCTTCCGTATTTTGCTTTGTTTTGTTTTGTTTTTCTTTGTTTGTTTGAATTTTTTATTTTTCTGTGTTTCATTCTCAGCAATAAGATGAAATGTACATATTTCTATCAGATGTTAAATATATTGTAGTGTATAATTTGCAGCACTATGGATCTTACTGCGTCATGTCTCTAGTTCAGTAGAAATTATTTCTTAAAATGGGAAGAAAGGAGTTTAAATATGTGAGAAAAGATACCAGAGAAGAAAACCATAAAACACTGCTCAGAATTTCTTATGATCTAGAATTTATAGCCATATTCTTGTAAGAAACTATCCCAACAAACTAGGAAACAAATCAGGAAACAAATAACTAAAAATAATAAGGCCCTTATTTTATTCTCTAAAAAACAGAATTGACTAAATCAACCCTTAACTGCCCCCAAATCTCCTGGATATCAGGGATACCGGAGATGGGCTGATCTTCAACACTCCCCCTCAAGCTGGATTGTATACATCAAACAATCCTAGCTTGTAAATCATCTTCTCAAAAAGAGTTCTTGGCAATCCTTTAGTTAGAATGTCTGCTGTCTGCTCGGCTGAAGCTACATAAGGAATGCAAATAATCCCGTCTTCAATCTTCTCTTTGATAAAGTGTTGATCCACCTCTACATATTTAGTACGATCATGATGCACAAGATTATGAGCTATGCTGATGGCAGCTTTGTTGTCACAGTACAATCTCATAGGACTTTTTGTTGCAACTTGAAGTTTTTCAAGGAGTAGCCTTAGCCAAATTAATTCACTAACTCCATTTGCCAAGGATCTAAGTTCAGCCTCTGCGTTGCTTCTGGCCACTACATTCTACTTTTTGCTCCTCCATGTCACCAAATTTCCCCAAACATAGGAACAGTAACCGGATGTAGATCTCCTATCTGCCACTGAGCCAGCCCAATTAGCGTCAGTGTATGCTTCAATCTCACGAGAGTCTCCCTTCTTAAAGAACAATCCTTTTCTCGGGCTTCCTTTTAGATACTTCAATATCCGGATGACTGCATTTAGGTGTTCCTCATAGGGAGCATGCATAAACTGACTTACCATGCTAACAGCGAAAGCTATATCTGGTCTTGTGTGTGCTAAATAAATAAGCTTTCCAACAAGTCGCTGATATATACCCTTGTCCACTGGTGTACTTGTATTTTTTATCTCCAAATTTAACGTTTGGATCGGCTGGAGTGTTAACAGGTTTGCATCCATGTAACCCAGTCTCCTTCAAAAGATCTAGGATATATTTTCTTTGAGAAACAGAGATACCTGATCTATTTCGAGCAATCTCCATACCCCAAAAATATATTAGCATACCCAGATCTTTGATCTCGAATTCATCTGCAAGCTTCCTCTTTAAATAACTCATTTCTAGAACATTATCACCTGTTAAGATAATGTCATCAACGTATACAATGAGTATAGTTGACTTACCATCTTCATGTTTGTAGAATAGTGTGTGATTAGTGTGAGCCTGCTTATACCCTTGTTGGCGGACTACTTTCGTGAACCTTTCAAACTATGCTCTAGGTGATTGTTTCAGTCCATAGAGGGATTTTTTCAACTTACACACCTGCCCTGTTTGTCCAGCCCTCTTAAAACCGGGAGGAAGTTCCATATAGACTTCTTCAGTCAAGTCTCCGTTGAGAAATGCATTCTTGATGTCAAGTTGGTGGAGCGGCCAATCTAGATTTGCTGCAAGAGAGAGAAGGACACGGATGGTATTGAGTTTGGCAACCGGGGCAAATGTCTCCTGATAATCTATCCCGTAGGTCTGAGTAAACCCTTTAGCAACCAAACGCGCTTTATGCCTTTCAATGGACCCATCAGATTTATACTTCGCTGTGAATACCCATTTATAGCCTACGGGTACAGCATCACTAGGTTTTTTAACCACTTCCCAAGTCCCATTTTTCTCTAGAGCTTGCATTTCTTCCTCTACTGCCATTTTCCACTTAGTTCGTTGAAAGGCTTCTTCAATAGTCTTGGGAATTTTTGTGTCTTCAAGATTGGAAACTAATGCTTTCATAGAAGAGGACAAATGGTCATACTGTACAAACTGAGCTATAGAATGTTGAGTACAAGAACGGACACCTTTCCCTAAAGCAATAGGTTGATCATTAGTATTAACCGTAGGAGGAAGGGCAAGAAGATTACCTGAGTCCGGGTTGGATTCATGACAATCCTCAAGATTAAGAGGGGTTTGTTGATTCTTCCGATGAGAGTAAACACAAAGTTCTGTATTCGGTTGGGATTTCTGTTGCTGGACATCTAAATCAGGTACCTTGTTTTCCTCTTGGTTATTTTCCACATCAAGATTCTCTCCTTGTTTATTACTTTCATCAACCACATCAAAATTTTCTACTCTTGGTAAACTGAGATTCTCGAGGGATTAGAGTCTGAAATAGGCATGCTTGGTGAAGTGGTGGAATTGGGGATTTCAGAAGTGGTAGAATTGAGGATTTCAGAAGAGAAATGCCAAAAATTTCCTTCACTGTTTTTCTCCCCCTGAAGGGAATTTGTGGGAAAGAAAGGAGTATTTTCAAAAAAAGTGAGGTCCATGGTCACAATGATTTTTTTCTTTTTTGGGAAATAACATTTGTACCCCTTTTGGTTTGCAGCATATCCAAGAAAAATGCATTTGAAGGCTTTTGGATCAAGTTTGTTACGATTGGTTTCATGGTTATGAGCAAATACAGTACAGCCAAACACTTTTAGGGGAAGATTACTAAAGGTTCGGTTCTCAGGAAAATGCTTGGAGAGGACGTTTAGTGGAGTTTGAAACTGAAGAACATTTGTGGCATTCTATTTATAAGTAGCAAGCAGTGAGAACGGCATCCCCCCAGAATTGTTTAGGAGTATTGGTTGTAAACATGATGGACCTAGCAACTTCCAAAAGGTGTTTGTTTTTTCTTTTAGCTATGCCATTTTGCTGAGGTGTATTGGTGCAAGAACTTTGATGAACAATCCCATTTGTAGTAAGATATCCTCCCAAAATCTGGTTAAAATACTCTTTACCATTATCAGTGTGTAAGATTTGGATATTTGTGGAGTATTGAGTTTTAACCATGTTGTGAAAGTTTATGAAAGTTTGTTCAGCATCAGATTTGTCTTTGAGCAAGTACAACCAACACACACGAGTATGATCATCGTTAAAGGAAATAAACCAACACTTTGAATAAATATTGTGAAACCGTGAGGGTCCCCAAATATCACTATGAATCATGGCAAAAGGTCTAGTTGCTTTATAAGGTTTTGGTTTAAACACAGATCTTTGATGTTTAGCCAACTGACATATTTCATATTGAAAATTGTCATTATTCTTAAACAAGGAAGGAACAAATGTTTAAATACCCAAAACTAGGATGCCCTAAACCTAAAATGCCACAGCATTACTTGATTTTGCCTTGAAGAAGGTTCCCAATTAACAGTATGAACTTGTCTGATCTCGTCGGTGCCCTCGTCAAAATAATATAGCCCTTCATGTTCACTAGCATTGCCAATCCTCTTCCCCGAACTCTGGTCCTGAAATTCACAATGATTTTGTGAGAAGATCACTCTACAATCACAATCCTTAGAAATTTTGCTCACTTACAGGATAAATTTGGAACATGTAATACAGACTTAAGAACAAAAGTTGAGTTAATTTTAACAGTTCTGTAGGATTTTGGGGGAAAATATTTATTCTTATTAATCTCAACATAACCGGAAAACAATAGTTATATAAAAGAGATTGAGAATCTAATCTTCTTCTAAATAAACTCTAAATCCTATCTTTAACAATCCTTATCCTATACTACAAAATTTAAACTCTAGAATTTAACTCTTATTGATAACGCATAAACCATAACTAAACCTATCTACTCCTATATTTCTGACATTCCCCCTCAAGTTGGAGCATAGATATTTATCATACCCAACTTGCTGGTTAAAAATTCAAAATGAGACCGTAGAAGCCCCTTAGTTAAGATATCAGCTATCTGCTGTGTAGTTGGAACAAACGGCAAGCAGATGATTATTGCTTCAAGTTTCTCTTTAATGAAATGTTTGTCAATCTCAACGTGTTTTGTTTGATCATGTTGTACGGGGTTATGAGCAATGCTAATGGCAGCTTTGTTGTCGCAATAAAGTTTCATTGGACTCTCAATCAGCCTCCTTAATTCTTCAAGAATCCGCTTCAACCACAGAACTTCACATATTCCATGAGCCATTAATCTAAACTCAGCCTCAGCACTACTCCTTGCCACAACACTTTGCTTCTTGCTTCCACGTAACTAAGTTACCCTAGACAAATGTACAGTACCCAGATGTAGATCTTCTATCTGTAATAGATCCAGCCCAATCAGCATCGGTGTAGACTTCAATACCTCGCTGTTCATTTTTCTTAA